CTTTCCAGTAAGCAGTGAGTGGAAAATTCAAATGACTGCTTATATTTGCCAGTGGAAGAAAAAATAGAATTTTTAATAAGAAAAATACAGTTGTTTTACTTCAAAAGGACATGAAAATGTCATTGTACCTGATAGCTATCTGGTTTGTTTTTTTTTTTTTTTCTTTTTAAATAGACATTTTTTATGGAAAATGTCTCTGAGAAGATGGTCTTGGGAATGCTTTTATTTTGTCTGCTGTGATGTAAGGCAGGAGCACACAACTCAGCATTTCTCTTCTTTAGAAGCTTACATTAATTTATTTTGACAGCATTTCCAACTCATATAGTAGTTTAGGATTATCTTTTTATGCTACCTTCTTATTTTAGACAAGCAATGCTTTGCGTGAGACTGGTAATTTGGCAAAGGGCATGGGTTCACATTTGGTTCTCATAGACTGATAGATTTAAAGACTAGAAGAGACCATTATGATCATCTAGTCTGACCTCCCACTTCAGTCAGGGCACGAGCCTCACGCAATCGTTGTTGCAACATGATCATGACCATCAGCAACTTGTTCATGAGCTTGACAGCAGCTTAAAAATTGTGATCAATACTGAGTTGCCTTCCCCTAGTTTTTGGCATTAATTTTTCCAACTTAGACTCCTGTCCCTGGATCATATAATTTCATAGGCATGCAGAGTCAAAACGAAACATCATCCTTAACTGTCCTTTTCAATTACATGTCTGTGGTTTCATCTACTTGGATTTATCCCAATATTATAGGAATATTTATGTTGTATAATTGTCAGATCATGCTAAATGGACAGTAAGCATTCTTTTCACTTTACACTGTTGTAAAAACAGTTTCAAAGCATGCATGGAATGTCAAGATCTTGGGCTGGATCTACATTGGTAAGTTAGGAAGCATTCAGCCTTGCTTTTGGTTTTGGAGAGCAGTTTGCATCTACTGAGTTAACATACGTGAAGCCTATCAACAGAGCAAATGCAGAGCAACTATTGTGCTTCTTTAAAAAGAAAAAAACCACCAGAGTTTCTAAGATCCATTTTTAATAAACAGATAACAACAAAAATTAGCAGCTGACAAAAAAGATAGGAAAAGGAAGGTGCGAATGTTTAAGAAATTGTGATTTACCTAGAGCATTACCAAAAACACAATTAGAATTTGGTTTGCCCAACAAAACAGCAGTAGAAGATTAGGTGGGAAGATGGAAGGTACTTGGAATCACGTTACTCTGCTACTCAATTTCACATGTACTCATCATCATAATATGAGAGCAAACCCTCTTCAGATTTCAAACCTGGCTAAGATTCACTCTCCCAGGAATTCTGGTCTACAAAAACTAAATTAATTTTCCAAGTTTGCTGGGCCTCCAAATCTGGCAATGCTGTCTTACGCAACTGGAGAAGTTCCTGGTGTGGATGAGAAATGAGGTTGCAACACTTTGGAAAGTCTCTGAGCAAATATCTGTTTCTGAAATTTAAATGTTCAGGCCTTTTCTGGGTGCCCCTACATGGAGTAAAGAAAGAGGGCAGAGCTCAAACTCTGCAACTTTACTATCATGTGGTAGCTAAAATGGCTACATGGTCTGTCTGAGAAAATAATAGGGAAAAGTACTAGAGGAAGATACTGCCGAGAGAAAATCTGGGTAAACATACTGCAGGAATTGATCAAGTTTTATCAGCTTTAAAATTTTCAAATCAAACCACTTTTAAGAGCTGCCATTCAGTAGTGCCCTAGTGAAACTGGAAAGATTGACATTAATTTCAGACAGCAGCCACCAGGTTCTTGTCGTCTAGTAAAGCGTTAATAGAAACTGATGTTCTTCAACAAAAATTTAACAAAATTCTGATTATTCTTGTGTCGCCCTGATTCTTAAGTTTTTCTAAAGGCTTCTGAGTTTACATTCTATTGGAAAACTTTCCCACACAGTTTCTGTAAATAACATATTGTTTTGCATTCCTTCATGGGGGTGGAGAAACTTAATGTACTAGTAGTTTGTCCAATGTCTTTGGAGAGGTGGCCCATTCACTCTCCAATCCACTGTCACCTTTGGAAAAATATAAAAGTTGGAGTCAGAAAATAAACTTCCTCTTTTACCTTGCAAAGTAGCAGGTGGCTCGCATTGTGCTTTCTCGTGTCCTATATCGACATTCTTGACTTAAAAAAAAACAAACAAAAAACAATCTCTTGCATACCAAACTGCATGGAAACAAAATTCCAGGCTTCCCATATTGAAAATTACACAGTTCAAGGAGAAAGAGCATGGGAATGGATTAACTCCAGTTTTTCTAAGGCAACTCACTTGTTTCATAGTTTTCTTCCATTTTCACAGTCAGGAAATACAGAAGATATCAAGAGACCTGTGTGAAGCCATAATAATATACATGGGTCTATATTTATAGCCACTGGATAGGAAACTTATTCTAAGATTTTGTTCTTCATCATATATATATATATATATATATATATATACACACACACATATATATATATAGGATATATAGGTATGTATATATATGTATATAGGAATATAGATTATTATATCCAGATTTTGGACATATCCTGCATATAATAATCTATATAAAATCTTTGGGTCAATACATTTCTGTTTCAGAGAAAAATGCTAACTCTTCATGTGTTAATGGAAGTTGAAGAGAAATAATCTTCAGTTATTTGAAATAATTTCAGTGTTCCACAACCATTTTGAATATATTTTTTCTTAATTGTATATATAGGTACCAACTGCTAGTATTTTTTATGTTCAATAATACATTTTAAATTAGATAACCTCAATCAAGAGTACACAATTTTCATTGAAAGATTTTAGTGGAAAATATTAAAACATGTAAAACATCAGTGTATAAGATTAGGAAGTTTTATAAATACAATTTCAAGCATATTTGCTCATTTGAATAATCTTAAGGAGCTGTTTATTGAAGGCAAAAGTTATATTGTAACTATACATGATATTTTGACTTCGCATGTGAGTCTCTGTCCTACAGAGGGACATCTGACAGCACAGCCAACATGCCTTTGCAATTAAGATTGTTCACAGTATGGCCTATGGAAATGTAAGATCTAGCACAAACCGTCTGGTAAAAATGCCTGTTCTTGTTACTCTTTGTTTTAATGGGCTATGAAATAAATGTAGTGTAGAAGGTATTTTTACAGCCAGAACTTGTCATACACAATATGCATGGCTTTGCTGGGAAGAAAATGCCAAAATTATGTACTTCAAGCACTCATCACGCTTCTTGGAAGGGTCATAAAAAGCAGGGACTTCTTATATTATGAGGGGGTGCTGGACTGGACAAACGTAGGTCAGGCCAATATGGTCAATCAAACATTTTCCGTTTATTAGTGAGAAGATGGCAGTTTATATACACTTTCATATAGTTTACAGTTTACAAAGGCACTCTCATTGGCAAGCTAGCATTGTTTACCTTTGCCTTAAGGTGGTCAGGCTTTTCACACTGCAGCTCTACCCTAATTCACACTCAGCTCTTTATTTTGTGGTTGCCTTAACATAATTTCTAACTGCACCACAACTGATTTCTTACTGCGTCAAAGGCTTCCAGGCCTCACCAAGGCCGTTTATCAGGGGCCTAGTCTGAGGGGTAGCTCAATTCTCACTCCAAACATAAATGATGCCCTCTCTCTCTCAGAAATTCTGCAACAGTCATATACATAAAAGCCTCCAAAATGTTTTGGTGGAACAGAACTGACTGCCTCTCCAGTGCTTACAGCATCAACCCTGGTACATGCCAAAGGGTGTATCATTCAGTAATTAAATACTGCCATCTTCATTTGTTTGTAACTACATGCAAAAATGGGAAGGAAGCTGCATGGCTGCAGAAAGGGAGAGCAAAGAACAAGGTGTTTTAAACAGCAGGAAATAGGCAGGGAATAACACCAGAAAACACACACACACACACTAAATGTGGGATGGAGATGGGAGTTGGGGAAGTCAGGTAAGTTAATGGTAGCTGCAGGGGCTGAACTGATAGAATAGATACACCAGAGGAAAAGTAATAGTGCGAAGAAAAGAAGGTCATTAACAAAAGATGAGGAGGGTTGAAATTAATGAAAGTTGTGCAGAGACACAACTTTGTGTTGTGCAGCCCTTGTCAGGAGAAAAGCAAGGATTCACTTCTGGTATTCCTGTTCAGTACCTGCAGGGAGGGGTCAGAGCTGTCACAGACCTGCTCCTCTTGTGCTTGGGTACCTCTCCTGTGGATGCAGGGAGGAGAAGGGAGGCTGAAACATTTTTTGCTAGATCTCAATCTCCCATGCAATTGCAGGGAGCCAGGATGCAGCCTCAGATCTGTGAGCTGGAAAGGACTTTGCTCTACCACAGTTGCAGATATTTATGGCAGCCATAATCAGTTGATAAACACAGAAACATGCCACAAGTTCTCTCTTAAGAACAGTTAGTGAAGGCAGAGTTTGTGAGCAGGTATTTCATTCTTATCCATAGAAAGGATGTTTTTCTTTTGAATTATTTTTTTAAAAATATAACTCTGCTGAACCAGGGAATAAAATCAAATTGATCAAAACTCCCCAGCACTTAAAATCCTAAGAAGAAAGTGCTGACCAGTTCTGATACTTCAGTTAGCAGCAGGGTTTTAAATTCAGATGTTAGATTGAAAGCAGGAAATAAGGAGTCAAAAATGTTCTCAGTTAAAATAAATTTTTATTTTGGGGAAATGTTCTTGCCTTTTCTGGTCTTCTTCTTACTCAATTTTTTCTCCTGAATAAAACTAATTGCTTAATCTAATTATTATTAGGTCCTTGGAAAACCTATTTTCCAGAATTCACTCTTTTCTTGAACTTCTTTGCTCTCTTGTCTTGCAAAGAAAGAACATCTAATCTAATCAAATATGTAATGGAACATATCAATATGAAAGTCTCATGTTCATACCTATGTAATTCAATTTTTCAAATATTCACCAAAGTATTAAATTCTTTGAAATGGTTTTTTTTTCTTCTCTTTTTACAGCAAAATTTGGAGAGTAACCTCACCAACCTTATTAAGAGGAACACTGAACTGGAAACTCTTCTGGCAAAACTCATTCAGACCTGTCAACATGTAGAAGTGAGTATAGCCTCCATTAGAAATTCTTATAAACTTAATTGCATTCATTTCTAGCATCCAGGAGCAAACATTTGAACAAAAAACCAAACAAAACCCCAACAAAAATAAATAAAACTAAACAAACAAGTGAAGAAAATAATTTAAATAATGGTAAACTGATTTAAATATTTTTCACTGATAAGTAGTATTCTCAATATAGATAGCCACCTTTACATTCCTTTCTGTCCTGTTTTAATTATGGTGTGTTGCTATGGCCTCCACTGCTACTATCCTTGAACACATCACTTACTACCTGTAACATTTGTCTTCCTTGGTCCTTTGTGAGATAGAGGAATATTTACAGGTGGAAAAATGAAGGCAAAAAATTAGGAACACCCAGATTCCCAGCCTCATTTAGGTTTCTGTTTACCACTTGTTTTGTTTTCATTTTCTTTTTTTTTAGTCATAAGTAACTATCTAAATACCTATCTGTACTCAGATGGCATACATGAAAGGCCTTTTAGTTTCTTCACTTACATATTCCACTCTCAGTGTCAAAAAAAATCTTTAGCAAGGTAGGATCTGAACCTATACTTTCCCCCCAGACAAGGTGAAAAAAAGTTCACCCCAAAAAGGCAAAGCAAACAAAACCAAACCAAACAAACAAAAGAAAGAAACAAACACAACCCAACAACCAACCAAAGCCAAACAATTCCCTATTCTTCCAAAGAGATCATCTTATCTATGTTTATATCGGCTTCGCTTCTCTAGAGCCTCACCAACTTCACAGAGCTCAATAAACCATAGAAGTCTACCCACAGTATAAGACATTAGGTGAATGGTTTAATTCCTTTATCTAGGCACCAATAACAACAGGCAGAACAGCTGGAATGGCATTAGTGGGTATTGAGAGACAGAGATAAGGCACAGTTTCTTCCTCTGCATCTAAAACTCTGAGCAAACCCCATGAAGCAGATGGGCTCAGGACAGCATAAGGTCTCTTCTTCACTGGTGGCCTGTGTCCAAGATGGGCTAGATCTGAAAAATTTTAAATTGCTCCTCCATCTTCTCTGCACTTCTGCAATATATTACCAGCTCTAAGTTGAGTGTTGCAAAGAATCCAACTTGTTCAACTGGTAACAGATGCTCTACTGTCCCTGGAGTCCTGTTTTAGGAAATTTCTCTGTAGACATAAAGCAATCACAACAGAGTTGTTAATGAATTCCTACCATGTTTTATTCATCAAATTAGTCTAATTAGCATTTAAATTAGCTAGATATTAAGAAATGAGCTTCAGTCAAAACCTTGGACCTTGGCTGAGCTGGAAATTGGGCAAGTGGGGATGGGGAAGTAAACTTTGAAGTTATCTGTTTCTCAGAGCCCTGTGAAAATTTCAGATGTGATGTGCATATCTCCAGCATTGGAGAAACTATGGCTTAGGTAGATTTTTGAAAAGTCAGTACCCTCTTTTTCTTCTTGCTTGTTCAGGAGAGAAATTCAACCCAAGACTGAAACCCGAATTAAAAAATTAAACTAAACAATATATTGGCTAAAACATTAACAATGCAAATTTAAAATTACAAAATATAATGAAACGTTTCCAATAACTATATTAGTTTTGATGTATGAACTCACTGAAATGCTGAAACCGAACAGGAAGTTAGTTTTATAGTGAATGTTTTCTTTTCATTATTAGACATATTATATTACAGATAATAATGTAAAATACATTGTACATAATTTGTTAACCTATAAAAACATGGGTAGTAAATGTAAAGACTTTTTTTACCTACTTTGATTTTCCTTACCTAATTTTAAATAATTTTGATATAGATTTTGGGGGCTTTAAAACTGGTTTAAAAAAAAAAGGGAAATAAGCTTTCAGTTTCAGATATAGTTTTAACTTTGAGAAACAAGGAAGGAAAGGAAATTATTATTATTCCTTGTATTAAATTTACCAAGACTTCACTCTGATATAGATGAACTTTTAAAAGTCATGCTCACTAACATTTATTTGTAGCTATAAACAGTAACATTTTTTTAAGCCTTTATCATGTCATAAGCCAAAAAATTCGATGTTACATGAAAAATAGGAAGCAGATTCCGGACAACACTGTAAAATAATTTGGGGTTACATAAAGAGGAGGCATTTTCCTCTACTTGTGTAACCCTCAAAGTGCTGCATCCTTTGCTCTTTGTACATAATAGAAATGCTCACTTTCTAGCTCACTTCTAAAGATCTGCTGCAGGTAAAATCTCAATGTAAAGTTCTCAGTCAAAAATTGGGTTTGTGAGTGTCAAATGGTGTTTTTTATAGTCATGTTATATAATCACCTCAATAAAAAGTAGTTCATTGAAAGAACCTTTATTTCACTGGCACAGATACTCAGCACTCACACTTATCAGACACATTTTACATTTCAGTGTAAAGCAGTAGTGCAAAACAAGTGAAGAGAAGATGGCAGCACCTAAAAAATCCTGCTGTTGCTATTGTTTTGCATGACTGATAAAAAGGAAATGAGCCAAACAGGAAAATTTAATAATAATGGAATGTTGAGTTTCTAGTAAGACTTCAGTGACAAGATAGCTCCTTCAAATTTTGCAACAAAATGTTTCCATTAATTTTTGTATGGCATTTCTGTTGAGAGACAACAAAATCAAAACTCAGCTGTCAATACAATTCTCAAAGGACCTTTGAAAAATAAAGAGGCTTTGTCTGTCCCTATAAAAAACAGTGACTATTCTGTTTTCATAATTTTTCATGGTACTCACTCCTTGAGATTTGGGATTATTTTTGTCAAAACTCAAGTAAACTGAGAAGTTCTCAATAGGAAAATTTAGTTAGAAAGCCTGGATGTAAATCCTGGTGTCTGAACTGCAGTAAATGACCTTCAGAGCAATACCAAGTCTTTGGAAGGAATGTACTTTGCTGGGGATTTTTTTCCTAGGAAAGGAGCAATGGGTTAGACAAGTGTTTGCCATCACTGTGGAATATGTGTGATAACTTGGCAAACAACTTAGAAAGGAACTCCACAGAAATTTGTTTTTTCCTCTGCCCTGCTATCTTCCATTTTTGTGAAGATATTTGTTTAGCAGCTACATTTATTTGCTATATTTAAGTGCTGAAATAAATGGTATTTTTTTATTTTTGAAATAGATAGAAAAATATGAGTTGAAGGAAATTAGGATATTCTATATTAGGATATAGAAATTATCAGTAAGGTACTAATAGAAAACCTGATCACATACATAAAACCTTAAGGTGGAGTTTACAGCATTTGTTTTTTCTAAGACAGTTTCTAATGAGAGGAGGTACAAGAGACTTTTTCTCTATTAACATTATTTTGATTAAATATTTGGCATGATCTATTTTGACTTCTAATTACTTTCATTCTTCTTTTAATTCCACTTCCATAAAAATTTATTTCATTCAATGGAAATCTTGGGTGAGCTTTACTCAGAGTCTTAAATTTATATAGCATCTGAAAAGAGAAACTTCAGAAATGAAAACTGACAAAATATGCTGCATAGCATATGGTGATATAGAATATTAATTCAAGGATGTCCTAAGTTGCATGCCTAGTAAGCTGTAGCCTAGTAGAAAAATACTATTTCCCTAAAGAATTGTTAAATTTATCTCAAAAATTACAAATTAAATGTATAATTGGTCCTATACAACTATGGAACTGCAGCATTTATGCATACATTTTATGTACAGATTAAGTATGTGCTGAATATCTTGTTGCACCTACAACTGTTTTGTACCTTCTGTAAAGTGGAGTTGTAGTTATGGTAAGAGGTCACACAGATTGTATATAAACTAATAGGAGAGCTTTTCACTGCCTGCTAAGGTGGTCAGTCCTGATTTGCTCCACCTCGCGCTTTCTCTCATATCCAGATGTTCAGATTTTTAATAGACTGATATTTTTGCAAGACTTTGATGTTAGACTAGTAAATGGAGCTTATTTCACTAACAACCACTGGTTAATTAATGCATCAGGTAATGTTTTGTGTCTGCTATCAGAGACTGTAACTTTTCAGTCAAAAAGTTGTCAATTTATGGAACCTTCTGTCTCTGAGTTGTTTATCATTATGGGAACAAAATAGTCTTGAATTCCTCCTTTTTTTGCCTAACATAAACAGCTAAAGAGCAGCTAGAGCAGCAGGGAGAGCAAAGGCACTGGTCCTCTTGTGAGCATGGTAAACACTAGGCTAAAGACCCTGGATCTTGGATGACAGTTTTAAGTATTGCACTATTGTTTACAAGTGCACTGGTTTCAACATCATGAAAGGATGGGCAGTCCTTTGAACTTCAGTGATTGTTTAATAGTTTTTGTTTTTCTATCCTACATGAAACACATGATGTGGAATATTTTGCTCAATATGGAACAAAGGCTTAATGTCAGCAGGAAAAACAAAGTAAAAACAATAAATAATTATTGTTCAATTTAAAAGTATTTTCATTATTTACAATTAAAGAAAAGTCTAAAATAAAGTGTAAAAAAAGGAGAGTGAATATAATGAGATTCCTATGATTCTTTTTCCCATGAAATTCTGGGGGTTTTTTGTTTTAGGATGAGATTGTAAATGTCACTAGAGGACATCTAGGTGTCTAGCTGGTTAGTTTCTCAACAATGTGCTTCAAAGCACAGTGAGACAAAAAACTTTAAAACAATATTTTAGTAAATAAAATTAGAATTTCAGTCTTCTAAGAAAGGTTTACTTTTAGTGAGAATTGGGGCAGATAATCTTATCTGCCAGACCCAAAGTGGTTTAGCTATCCTGGTCTAATCAATCCTTCATTCACAAAATTCCTATGTAGCCAGAGTAAGATGGCATCTTTTTGCACTGACCTTTGCTTAACCTGCTCTGAGACTGCCTCTAAACACAGGTTTCCTGGTTAGAGATAGATGTGGAATGCAAACAAAAACAAAGCCTCTGGCACACTTGAAATGGAAGATGACCTTTGTTTTTTGGGGTTTTTTTTCACTATTTCAAACTAAAAGTTTTATATTCAGATT